CCCCCCCCCCCCCCCACTGTAAATGTGCCTTAGCTCAAGTCTTCCAGCTTGCATTGGTGCGGGAGGGGACCCAGGAAGCCCTCTTTCCCCTGTTCTTTCCCACCTGGGCACTCTGAGCCAGGTCATGGTGGGAGGGGGGCCTACTGCTTGTTGAACCCTGAGCCTTCCTTTCTCTCCTAGGATGGGGGAGGCCTGCTCATGCCAGGGGCCAGGAAGGAGACACGGCTGCAGAGTTCTTGCCAGGATAGTCACTTTATTTGACAAGAAGGGGCCCTGGTCCCTTGGCCCAGCGAAGGGCCAGCTGGGTTTGAGGTCTAGTAACAGAACTCCAGGAGGGGGGCCTGTGCGACCATCTGCCCCCCCCCCTCCCTGCAGGGGCCCCAGACAGGGTGGAGGGATGGCCCGGCCAAAGCCTGTGCAGGCACCTCAAGGAGCAAAGGGCTGTCTGGCCTGGGCACCAAAGTCAATAAATTATGTTCAGAAAATCACAGAGCCTGGTGATTGGGGCTCAGGGACACCAGCCTGGACAGAACTGCCCCCAAGGGGGCAGCCATGCAGGCGAGAGGGGTCTCCCACGAAGCTCAGAAGAAAGGTCGGGCAGGAGCCGATGGAGGTGGTCGCCTGGGCACAAGAGAAAAATCAGAAACAAAGTTTAACTGTGTCCCCGGCTGGGCCACCAGGCATGGGCTCCCCAAGATGGCAAGAGAGGGAGAAAGGGGGCCTGGGAGGGAGGACTGGGATTCCCTCTCCACAGCCGCACCGCATCGCAGCAGCAGTCAGCCTGTGGGTTAGTGGGGTTGGGGAGAGCAGGGAATATTTCGCCCCCACTTCCGAAGTGCTAAGGAAAAGTAAAACTCTCCCCTCTAGAGTGTGGTCCCTCTCAGAGCAGAGCCCCCAGTGAGCGAGGTGTGGGGGGCCCACACTGGGAGGGACGGGGGAAGTCCTCGTAAGAGGCCTACTGGGGGAAGGTGACACCAGTGTCCTCAGCCTGAACACCAATACATAGGCCCACACAGCAGCCAGCAGAAGCTTTTTCCCTTTATTTTACTTTATTAATAGGATACAGAGTGCAGGCACTTACAGTGGTCAAACTGGGCGAGGAGCAAGTGAGAAAGGCTCAGAGAGAGGCTGCCCAGGCCCACCCTGTGGGGTAGGCCCCAAAGCCTCCCCAACCCACACTGCCCCTGAAGCCCAAGCCACCCTGGGGGACCCAGGAGGAGGCAGGGATGGAGAGAGCAGAGAGCGAGGCCAGCCCGGGCTGAGGTTTCCAGGCCTGGCGAAGGCACCTCTGGCGGCTGAGGCTGGGCCGGGCTAGGCTCTGTGGTTAATGTGGCTGAGGAAGGAGTATGTACAACTCGGGCCGGGCGGCCGGGCAGCCCTGGCTAGCTGCTGGGGAGCTTCCACTGATGAGAGGCGGACATTCCTTACACCCCAACAGGGTCTGGGGAATACAGGTACCCTTGGCACCCCAGCTTTCAGTAGGCCTGCTCTATGTGGGTTTGCCCAGCCAGAGAAGCCCCTGGCAGATCCCCCCAGCCCTGCCTGGATCCCTCATTCGAGATAGCACCCAGGGTACTATCCCCTCTGCCCCCTGGAGACTCCATCCCCCAAAGTGCAACACCCCAGTGCCCCCCGCCTGGGGCTCCAGGGTCCCTTCACTCTGTGGTGTCCAGCCAGGGATGGGGGCCAGGCTTAGGGAAGAGGCACGGTATGCCCGCGGGGAGCCTGGTCCCAGCACAGGGGTGAAAGGGCCCAGGCCACTGAAGCTCTTGCACTGTGGGTGCGCGAGGCCCCCGAGATCATGCCCCCCGCGCAGCCTAGTCGAGCAGGGATGGCTCGGCTGGGCGGATAATGGTGGGCCGGCTGGGCGCAGCAGGGGGTCTTCTGCTGCAAAAAGAATAAAGACAGATGGGGAAGGGGAGATGGTGGTGAGGCCAGAAGCAGGGCCAGGATGAAGCCCCCACCTCCCACCCCCAATGCTGGGGTGTTCCCAATGCTACATGCCAAGGTAGTTTGCCAAACCCAGGCATCCAGGCCTGCACTGTCACTCACTTGCTGTGTGACCCTGGGCAAGTCCCCTGCCCTCCCTGGACCTCAGACTGCTCACAGGAGAAGTGGGGAGAATAGAGCTTGGCCTGCAGGGTGGGTTGAGGTGGGCGGGGTCCATGACAGCTGGCACACATTTGTCCTCGGTACCGGAACAAAGGTAAGTGGTGGGACGAGGTGCCCAGTGCAGAGGCCCCAAGCCCACCCACTTAGCCAAAAGAGCTCTGGAGTCTCCCTGAACCTGACTAACGCCCTGTGACTTTGGGCAAGCAACTTGGCCTCCTTGGGCCTGAGTTTCCCCAGCAGCCATATGGGGGTGTTGATGGCAACTCCACTCTCTGCCCAGCACATGGTGAGGGCTCATTAGGGAGGCAGCTTCAAGGAGAGACCCCACGGTGCAGGCTGCTGTTTCTAGGTGGCAGGCAGGCAGCAAGGGGTGTCAGCCTTACCTGGGCACTCCAGGAGGTATGCCAGGGGGGATCCGAGCTGGCCGAGATGGGATCTGAGGTGGGGCTGAGAAGGGGTCATTGTTGGCAAACACACTCTGGGGTCCAGGCCGGGATGGGATGGGGGGTGCGGTGAAGGAGGCTGCTGTCCCCACTGGCATGGGAATCAGAGGGGGCCCTGGAGTGGGGCCCCTCACCGCAGGAGGCCGGCCCGGGGGGTGCATGCTGGACACAGGTCGACGCTGCGGAGTGGGGCTGCGGAGGAAGGAGAGGGCATGAGCTGGACAGGGATGGTCATGGTGGAATTCTTTGTCCTCCCCTAGACCTGCTGAGCAGTGGCCGCCCTCCCACCCCCAACCTGAGCCCTGGCCCCAGCACCACCATCCCTTGTCCTTGGCCCAAGAGCTCCTGTTTCCCTCTGACCTCACCCTTTCACCTCTGCCAAGCCTTTGTAATGGTCTCTGACACACCCTCACAGCTGAAGATACTTCTAGAGACCAGCCCTGTCCTCTAAATCAAGCCCAAATGCCTCTGGAGGCCATAGAGCTTGCAAGCCCCCGCCCAGGCACCACAGGCCCCCCAGGCCTCCGTCCCTACTGCTCCTAGGCCTGGGTGCTATGTCTTCTCCTTAAAAAACTCCATGGCTGGGCCGGCCCGGTGGTGCACTGCTACAGTGCGCTGCTTGGGAGTGCGGCGGCGCTCCCGCCGAGGGTTCAGATCCCACATGCAGACCGGTTCCCGCTCACTGGCTGAACGAGGTGCGGGCACAGCACCGAGGATTGCGATCCCGTTGCTGGTCCCGGTCCGGTACGGGCACAACACTGAGGGTTGCGATCCGTTGCCGGACACGAAAAAAGACAAAAAAAAAAGGAAAAAAAACAAAAACAAAACTCCATGGCACCCTGATGCCTCAGCGAGGCTGGCACCCTCTGAGATTCCCTGACCTACCCTAATAGGAGACAGGAGGGTAACAGCAGAAGCGAGCTACAGCTTGACGGGCACCTTTAACCCCTCCCTCCCCTCATTCCTTTAGGCCTAGGCAGGAGAGGGGCTCCCACTGTGGCCAGGCCTGGGTGCTGCACCATCTGGGTTGGGTCCTGCCAGTTTCCTGCCAGGACTCTGATGGACACTCAAGGGAGCTGGGAATCCATGGGCAGCAGCTTCCGCAGCACGCAGGTGAACAAGCCGCCCGCACCTGTGGCTGCTTGAGCTCTGGAGCCAGGTGTCATCAACGGGTGGGGGCACAGGCGTGGACACAGTGCTGGTGCTGATGTCCCCGATGATGTTGAGTGCCTCTTTGAGTGCATGGTACATGCGCAGCATGTCGTCCCGCCGCTGGGCCTGGTCGGCTGACTCCTCCATAAGGCTGCTCTGGTCTGCAGACGAGTACAGGTAGGCCAGCAGCTCGTGGTGGATGAAGGCCTTTGTCTGCGGGCAAGGGTAGAGAGGTCAGGCCTTCCCACCACCTGAGCAAGAACTCACCAGGCCACTGTGACAGGCTGGAAAAGCACCTTCTCACAAACTCTTATTAAACTTATTCCCAGCATCTTATCTGTTTTATTGCTATCTTTTCTCTCATTATGTTTCCTAACTGGCTTTTGTTCAAACACTGCTAGTTTCTGCTCATTCATTTTATACTTTGTCCCTTTTTGAATCTTCCTATGGGGTACAGTAGTTTTCATTTTTCAGTTACTTTTCTTGGAGATTCCAGGTACACAAGCTCTGTGTACCCGTTTCTACAAATTGGTATAATTGTTCCTGTTGTTTTGTCAATGTTCACACATCTAAAATTCTTTTTCTTTTCTAACTGCATTGACTAGTAACTCCAAAATAAAGTTAAATAAAAGTGGGAATGGCTGGGCCGGCCCGTGGCTCACTTGGGAGAGGGCACTGCTGATAACACCAAGGCCACAGGTTCGGATCCCTATATAGGGATGGCCGGTTAGCTCACTGGGAGAGCGTGGTGCTGACAACACCAAGTCAAGGGTCAAGATCCCCTTACCGGTCATCTTTAAAAAAAAAAAAAAAAAAAAAAAGTGGGAATGGCTGACTTCTTGATTTTAAAGCGGGTACTTCTGCTTCCGCATGAAGGCAGAGTGCCTTTGAGACTGAAATACATAGATTCAATGGATAGATGGTATCTCGTGATGGAAGACTCCTTCTCCAACTGTCTTACTTGGAATGCATGTTGACTGGTTACGGCATGGTGTTGTAACACCAACACAAACATAAAAAGGGTCCAGACCTCCATACTGGCCAGCCTCCCAACAACGACAACAAAAAGAATGACGTTGAGGCTGGTTAGCTCAGTTGGTTAGAATGTGGTGCTCATTAGGGAGGGTTTGATCCCTGTACCTGCCAGCCACAAGAAAAACCCCCAAAAACAAAAAAAAAGAATGGATGTGGAAGTTTCTCAAGTGCACGTTCAACATCTGCCAAGATGACCACAGCTAGTGGTTTCTGAACTGTGAACTACGTGAATGCCTTTGCTATTCAGAAACTTAACTTTTGAATAACTAGTTAAAAGGGAAAATGAAATACGGGTTGAACATACCTAATCCAAAAATCTGAAATCTGAAATGCTACAGAATCTGAAACTTTTTTTTTTTTTTT